AAGAGCTTACTAATGTGTTATCATCACCACGCGTCCAACATTCTACATCGTGCAGCACGGATCAAAATGTGGGTAATTCTAACTTATTTACATCCAACTTGCCAAGTATCAGCAAACAAGAGTCTTCGGAGTTTGTATCACCTTGCACACCAAATACGGACTATGATGGCATAGATTTACGAACTAAAAAGATAAAAATATTAGAGGAGATAATAATTCTAGCACCAATAACCGACACTATTTCTATAAATACCTCAATGGGTAATAATGACACTTTGCCATTAATGCCATTGATTAGGGGAAACTCGACATACGGTTCCCTCAGCAATATTTCGGTATCAAATATGCTTACCCTTGATGAGTCTTTAGATGAGCAAAAGATATCTGATCTACTTAATACACCAAAAAGCAATAATCGTATTTACAAAGAAAAACTTAGTTCACATTTGAAAATGGATGAGACACCAGAAAAACTACAATTAGATTTGTCTGCGCCAGGTCCCAGTCGAATACCTCTTGACATGGATAAAGCAATAATAGCACACCGTACATCTACTTCTAACATTATTGTTAAAGATAACGAGACAATTACTAGTACGAGTCTTAATAGCACCCACGAAAATGATCCAGTTATTGATTCTGATGATGACAGCAGTTATGTTCCTAGCGCTTCTTCGGAAAGTGAATCTGATATTACTGTTATAACATCCGAAGATGAGTGTGATGGAGATAGTCACAATCAGTTGGACAACGGAACACCTACAAACATTACAATACAGCGAGAAAATGTTGCAGAAGACTCCAATGGAGATGAATGGGTTGACATAGAGGATACGACTCCGGAATTTGAAGAATACCCACACGAATGTCAATACAATGTACCTGAAAATGTTAAGACACCAGATGAGATATTTAGACTGTTTCTAACAGATGAGATGGTTGACAAGATGGTCCTTGAGACTAATTTGTACGCGGAAAAATTTCTTACTAATCCAGGCTTAAAGAAAAAATCTCGGTTCCGTTATTGGAAACCAATTAACCGAGAAGAGTTGCTGAAGTTTCTAGGTGTTGCCTTAGTTATGGGGTTAAATAAAGTTCCTCACATCAATGATTACTGGTCCCAAAATATTATGTATCGAAATGATTATATCATAAAAGTTATGAGTAGAGATCGATTCACTGCAATTTTAAAATTTTGGCATTTTAGTGATGACACTATTGACAGGCCAACTGATAAACTAAATAAAATACGTGATGTATATGAAATGCTTCTTGCTATCTTCAAGAAAGTTATTGTTCCGGGTAAAATCCTAGTGATTGATGAGACCATGGTGCCATGGCGCGGAAGAATACAATTCCGGCAATATATAA